GGGAATAGAAAACTCTCTTTTTGGAATAAAAATCTAGAATGGCTTGTATTAGCCCATAACATTATTATCCCTGAGTCTCTTCAATGGGAAGAAGGGAGCAGATAAGGGTTTTATGTGAAGTAGGGAGGAAACTAGATTAAACTATACCCTTTGCAGGACTAATTTTGTTATTGGGATCATTTTTCTGAGGCTTTCAGATACTAAAGCGATGAACATGTTTTATATAAGATTAATATTAGATTAGGCAGACAGAAAATGAGACTACATCCTGCTGGTCTTGATTTAGAGCTTGTGTCTCCAAATGTGTTTATATTTGATTTGAGAAAATTACACTGGCTTTATCTTCAACATTGCCACTGTCAGTGCTTGCGTTTCCAGCAATATTCTCATCTTTGGCACTGCATTCCTTTCCCATTGTCACCAGGATTTGTAATTTCGTAAAATGTCAGTTGGAAAGTGCTTTCCTGAAGCCATTTTCAAAACAAACAAAAAATGCCACTTGTTGTAAAAAGCAAATGTTTTCGCCGGATCTGGAGAATCTTTCACAGTCCCCTTATTGTTACAAGAAGGAACTATATAGTGACCGTGATAAGGCTATGATTAAAGTGTTATGTAATGAAGTGAAATTACCAGCAGGCTGTGACCCAAAGAATTCACTGGAGGGATCTCTCAGTTTTTGCCACTAAATCATGTTTATTCCTTTTATCCCATTGAAAATACCAAAAAACATTGTTCCCCCTCAAGATAATCCCATTCAAAATATCATTGAAACCAGATACTGTGAAAAGCATATTCCCTTGATCGTTATTACATAAATGCTACACTAAAATCTTTCCTTATAGTTTTACACTGATAAAATAGTGCCTTTCCTGAGGACAACATGAAGCCTAAATGGGAGTAATTAATTAATGAAGTTGGATTTAAAAATTATTTCAGGGGATTTGGACAGAAATGGGGCTCAGATTTTCATTGGATTTGTGCCAGTTTATAGACAAAGTTCTGTTAATTTGAACATGTACTAAATTAATGCCCAAAGACCAGAGTAAGAACAGTATAATAAAAACTGCATAAATACAATATTCCCTATCATAGTATCACAATTAAGATTTATATACCCTCTTCAGGACTGATTATAATCTGAGTTTCATATAAAGATGGAGGATGGGGAAGGGAAGAGACACTGGAATGTTAACTTTACTTATTGAATTCCTAACCTAAAAAAGTATTTTATAGCAATAACGGAGAATTCTGACAAATCAACGATTAGTAAGATTCTGCCTCTATATTTATCCTAAATGGCTCAGGAACTGTAAAAGGGATTTCATCCTTAGAATGCAGGATTTAAATCCAGCTCCTAGTGGTAGTGAACATAAATCGTTTATTAACTCATGAAATGAATTGGTGGTCGTATGCCTCTGATGGGCCTCTCTCTTGTGTAGCTAGAAAGGATTTCATTAACTTCTGAATCTTTCATGAATGATATATTAACTAAAATAATTTGGGCTTTCATTTGGTTTATGACTAATATAATAATTTCAACTAACCGTTCTAACAGGTGGGACATTAACATTGTTCAAGTGTCTACCTATAATGTATTCTGTATTGCTCTGCTATACTTTGGATGCAATACCTAAAAACCCATCAGAAGTATGGGGCCTAATTACTGAACTATGCATCAAAGAGACTCGGGGTATTTATTATAGGCCAGGATTTTCTCTTTCCATTATTTTGAAGGCTTTCCAATATAACCAGTCATAGCACAGTTTGCCTCTAAGGCTAGGGCTACATCATAAATAAAGGGAGTAATGATTTCCCAGCTCATGTGCACATATTCAAGAGGATAAATAGCAGCGTAGTTGCAGTAGCAAAGGTAGTGTCAGTGGAGGCATGGCTGAGCCATGTTTCCACTGCTGCTACTAGTGTTACTGCAGCGACTCTGCTATTTATACTTGCTCTAACTCAATGAGAGTTAGAGTGGGAATGTGTACATGAGCAGGGGAATCTCACCCCTAGTTTGCAGGGTAGACAGAGCCTAATACACTGCAGCTGGGAGGTGGCATTTCCAGAGCAGGTAGATTGCGTGAGCAGAGCTAGTGAGAGTCTGTACACTAAAAATAGCAGTGTGGGCATTGCTGCAGGGAGGAGAGCTCAGGCTTGTTGCCTTAAGTATGATCCTGCCTCCTTCCTGGTCCAAGCTCAAGAGGCTACCCACCCTGTGCTGCAAGAGCTACCCTGATATTTTTAGCATGTTAGTGCGAGCAGAGCCCACTAGGATGAGTCTATCTACCTGTGTGGGAATCACACCTCCCAACTGCAGCGTAGACATACCCCAAACACCCAGGATGCATGGTTTATAATAGGTATTCACATCCATTCAGATAGTCATCCATGATTTAGATATATAGGGCTCAATCCTTGGCCCCATCATAGTTCCTGTATATAGCTGACTAGCTAAAAAGCCAGCTGGCAACTCCAGTCATAACCCCTATAAGCTTCCTACTCAGCCCCTGGCATGGGGAACATACCACATATGAGAACAAGTTTGGACAGAGCACATTGTTCTCTAGCAGTCCCTGGTTAGTGAATGGTCTATTGGGGGTCTGTTGTGGCTGGCGGGCAATTCAGAGCATCTGTCAGGGCTGCTATAAGCTACAGTAAAGACTGAATCAGCCCTTATCCACCCCCAGGAGGCTGTACAACAGCAACTTTGTAGAGTCGTACCTTATTGATACATTTGCACACTCACTCATTGCACACACAAAATGAGAGATTTTTGAAGATTTGGCCCCATATATCATATTAGGGAAGTCAGATTATTGCATCCCATGGAATTTTAATAACTGCACATATGCTATGCCAATTCAATATGCTCATTACTTTAAGATTTCTCTCCCCCCAGCCCCCATTTTACTGTATTTCTGATTCCAGTACATTCTTATTATCTCATAAGAATATAAGAACAGCCATACTGGGTCAGACCAAACGTCCATCGAGCCCAGTATCCTCTCTTCCAACAGTGGCCAATGCCAGGTGCTTCGGAGGCAATGAACAGAACAGGTAATCATCAAGTTATCCATTCCCTGTCGGTCATTCCCAGCTCCTGGCAAACAGAGGCTAGGGACACCATCCCTGCCCATCCTGGCTAATAGCCATTGATGGACCTATCCTCCAAAAAAGAACTAGATACGTTGATGAACCCTGTTATAGTCTTGATCTCACTTGCTTTTTCTATATACTAGATGTTATTTTCTGTGAGAGAGAGTATATATATATATATATAGAGAGAGAGAGACAGAGAGAGAGACACACACACACAAACTCTCTCTCTCAAGAAAATAACATACTAAAAATATATATTAAAATATTTTTTTTGTCTTGGTCAAAATGAAAAAGGAATGCAGATCTACTTTAGGTATCTCGGTAATATTTCAGTTTCAGATGTCAACAACAGCTTTGATGTAGCAGACAGAATTTTAGTTCCTGCTGATGCTAGCACTAAGTCATCACAGCTGTCTTCATTTAGGCTCTTAGCAACCATGCAAGAGAGGCTCACAAATGTACCTCCCACAGCTAGCTTATCAAAGCACTTAGTCAGATGCAGCATGTACTCCTATAGATCAGCCTCCTATGGTTTGCTGTGGTTTGAATTTTTTATGTAGTGGGAAGTGAAGATTTTTGCATGGAGTTGACATGTTTTGATCAGCTGTCTAGTCAACAGCTCTGCAAGAGAGAGACATTTTCTACAATTGTTTCTCATACTATTTAAGCAGCTACCCTCCCCCTACCCCCATGTGCATAAGGGTATGCCCTGCCAACTCCCCCATGTTTTATGGAAGACATACACATATTCAGTATTTTATCTAGTCACCCTCCAGAGTGCTACAAACAGGCACATATGAGTGTTTTCTGGAAGATACATGGGATAAATATACCCACCCTCCATATCTCATCCTGGGTATGGTCATAAAGAAATAATGCTAATTATTTCACTGGGCTCCTGACTTGGAGCATTTGGGTTCTGACATGACAAACATCTGAAATCACTTTTGCCAAATGATCTTAGTCCTGTTGACTCCTTCACAAGGCATCAGCATTCTTCATACAGTACTGCATTGAACCCTGATAACTCATGCCTTTTTAAACATAAATCATGCAGCGTTTCCTCTTTCCCTGCAACTGCTGCTGTGAATAGTCAGGAGAATGGGAAGGAACATCGCTTCCCCAGTTTCACTCTGTCAGTGTATAGCTCATTAGACCTAAGAATATGTAGTAGGAACTCTTCATTTATGCATTCAAAGAGGCAGTAGACTTTTGAATAAAGAAAATTATTCTAGAGAAAGGTACAGTGGAACATGTGTGTGTGTGTGTGTGTGTGTGTGTGTGTACACACACACACGTGATGTGTTATGATGATGGGTGCAAAACTAACACATCTTCATATTACTTCATAGTACTTAATTGACCCTAAATCTTCTTGTTCTTATTCTAGGACCAAGATCATATTATGCTTAACTGAGTATTAATAAAGCTCTCAAAGCTGGGTTTGTAGTCTCCAAAGGGCCCATGATTACTATGTTATATGCTCTCAATATGCTTTTTTAATCGTTTGAGATTAATTTTCATACTGGGAGGATGTCCTTCAATCTAAAATTCATATTAAACACGGTACTTTGCCAAGTGAAAAGAATGAATGTTGGGTTTTTGACAATCGCCTAGGTTAGTAAATATCCCTGAAGATAGTATAGTAATAATTAATTTGGTTAATTAGATTATTTAAAAAATAATTAATATGTTTGAAAATGAATGGCTCAGATGAGAAATACTAAACAAACTTAAATAGGAACCGCTATAATATCATCTCATTTCTCCCAAATATTAATTGATATGATCTCATTAAAAGTGATTCTTTTTGCCAATAGATTCAAATTCTGTTCCTGCATATGAAGAGGCTGGATACCTTCTGTCAAATTTTCATTTTGCCTGTTCTTTCTGTATTTCAGCTGAAGATGGTTAGAGGAAATGTTCAAAAGGAAGAAATGCAGAACATAAAAGACAAAACAAGAAACTGAGCAATGTTTATAATTAATAATTGATACTGAAATGTAGAATTGTTGTTTTTGTTTTTGTTTTGTTTTGTTTTTGGTGGGGGATGGGTTGTTCCTGAAGATTATGCATGTTTGGAAAAAACTCATTGCTTTTGTTTCGGTTTGTTGATCTTAAGAATTCAAAGAACAATTTAGCATCTTTTTAACTGGATTTCTAATTGTAATTACCTCTTTAATATATTTATAGTGAAATAAGTGAATGCTTACAAATATTTCAAAACAAAATTTCAACTGCCACACACTCAATTTCCCAAAACATTCATCTTGTGGGGGCTAATGCAGCCTGCCCAAATGCAGACATTTGTTTCAAAGTTTGAAAAATATTGTGAGTGGGTAGGCTAAAAATGATACCATAGCAATGTTTTGTTACAGAGAGAGGAACAAAATTTGGGGAGCTCACACAGAGGGTCCACAGTGTTGTGCAGTATAGAGCACCTTGTTATAGGAGCACCATAAGGAACAGATTTTTTTAAAAAAAGTTTATATAATTACATTCAAATTTACAAAAATAAAAAGAGTGGGGCCCTGAGCTAAAAGTCTGCCTTCCAGCCCATAAGCCACATCCAGCACACAATAGAGCAATTGACATCATGGTGTAGAGTGATCTCAGTGCGCCTTAATAAACAGGGTTTCTACTTAATGAGGAGCCATCTACAGAATGTGGAGCCGGGTTCCCTAGACTCTACATATAGGCCAAGATGTGCAGCATTGCATGAACATGATTGTAAGTGAATCCAAGACATGCGACACAAGCATGATCTGCAGGTGCATGGCAACTATTCCCCCCCTCCCATTATTGCAACCCAGCTGTAACCCCAAAATGCAGGGTGCAGACCAATAGATGGGATCTGCTATGTTGGTATCAGAAGTGCATTCTACTCAGCATATCCTACAGCTGCTCACTGCACTCTTGCGTGGCCCTGTTTGTACAATATCAGATTATAATCCATCAAGATGCATGGAAGGCAGATATCTGATATGTGGAATCATTACTTGTACAAAAATATTTACAGCTGTTATATGGAACAAGGGTTCTCAACCTTTTCTATACTGTGGCCCCATTTTACAAGCAGAAGAAAGCAGGACTCCAATCCCATTTAGTCATAAAGAAATGGAGGGTAGTTGTCACTCCCAGGATGAGAGCCTGTGAATTATATAAAGTCGTCAGCTATTGCTAAAAGGTAACCTGCTTTTTAAAATGCTGTTGTATGCATTTTAAGAAGCACAGCTGGTATTTGGTAAATAGAAGTATATGTTAGCTTAATCTCACTTTATGACTCACAGGAAACCATTCAGGAAAAAATCATCTCTAGTACAATTCTAATGATTTCTATTGTATTACCCCTGAAATAAAGTTCAGCGTTTGAAACACATGGGTAGCTGAGCAGCTCTTTTAACCAATGGACCTCAGCTTCATGCTAGTTTGAGAAGGTCATTCTAGAATTTTCCCTCTTCTTCCCATCACATCACTGATGATATTTTTACAAGTTTCCTAAGTCCCCGTAGACTTATACCTTATGCGGCAGAACAAGTAAATGTAATTTATCAGGGGATATGGCAGTGAGTTAATGTGTGCACTTCCCTACTTAAAGTGATTTATCAGTAGATTTGGAGCCTTTAAAGAACTAGAAATTTATCTGTTTCTCTCCTCACCATGTCAGATATCATTTACTTGAAGTACTAAATACAGTAGTGGCTGGTGTCCCAAATAAGTGGTGAAGCTGCATGTGGCAAACTTTTCAAAGTAAAAAGCTGTGATTCAGAGGTCAAGAGTGTCACTGGGAAGCTTTTTGTTGAGGGATAATGAATGTTGGTGGGGAGGTGAGAAGAAAAAGGAGTGCCCTCATGCTTTATCCAGTCTCTCTGCCTTTCTGAATGAAAAAACTGGGACACTTTGGGATAAGATTAATAATGGTAAAAAGACAGTCTTTATTTCTGATTCTTTCAGTGTTCTCTCCTAGTTGCAATCTGTTCCCTCCAATGAAACTCTTACCCCACCATCTCCCCCACAAACCATATACATCACCATTTCCTTCATATCCCCTTCATTCTTACCTACCACCTCAACCTAATCTCCTCCCCACTTAAGAACCTCCCAAAGTCCCCTTAGCACCTTCTAACCTAACCCTTAATCACCAGCCATCAGTGAATGACAGTTATAATTACAGAGATGCAAGTGTCAAGATGTCAGAGGTGAGAGGTATGTCAACGGTTACCATTAGAACTAGTTGGTTGACATTTGGAAACAAAGTATTGATTAAAATTTCCAATTTTGAAAACTAGACATTTGAAAAATAAAAGGAAAATTTGATTAAATTCCACATTTCCCCCCTTGCTTTTCAACAATGATCATCTCAAAACATCTAAAATTTTGAACTTTGATATTTTTAAAACTGCCAGAATTTCTTCCCCCCTCTGAGATTTCTTTTTTTTTTTTGGACCAGCTATAATTACAATGCTACATCTTTATGGAAATACCTCTACCATCTCTGATTTTGTTTGCAACTTCATTTTTTCTATTTACTTTCTACAATATACAAGGACTTTTGGCTATATTTTATAGAAGTATTTTATAGTTAATGCTTCTGATGACTTAATACTAGTACTTTACTGCATTCTTCCAACCCACTCTAACTGCTAAGCACCCTAAATTCTAGTATACTTCAATGGAAGTTGAGGATACTCAGGAGGTTGCTCAAAATTGTAGACTCCAGTCTAAAAGGCTAAAATATCAGAAGTAGCACTACCACAAGAAAATTGAATTTTTTCAATGCAGCAAATCAGTTTTGGCAAGATATTTGTAAGGAGAAAGCATTTTTTCTTTACCATGGGTAGATTGCAGGCAAAGATATTTCACCTCCTGTACATTGTTAGTGTACAAAACTAAGCATTCTTTCTTACTGAGTTGAAAATAAATTTTCATGATATAGATATTCACACTTAAAGCTAGCTGATCCCAACCCAGATTAGAATCAAACTGCAATTTAAAATGTACAGTTGTAGGGATATTAAAGAAGTTACTAACAGTGATTCCCCCAAGTGACAGTGGGCCCCTCATAATTTGTCCCCCACACTTTAAAATCCAACAGTTTCACCAAGTACAAAAATCTTTTGGGT